ATTTGCCTGTCTTTGGACCTGCGATCGCATTAGCACAAACAGCATGTACAGCTCAAAATGCAAAAGGAACTTGCATTTCAACTGCTTCATGTACAGGTAGATCAGTTGCTGGCCTCTGTCCTGGTGCTGCAGATGTTCAATGTTGCATCCCACAAGGAAGTGCTTGTACCGCCAACGGAAGAAGTGGAATTTGCATTTCAACTACGTCCTGTGCTGGTACACCTGTAGCTGGTGCTTGCCCCGGTGCTGCTAACATTCAATGTTGTGTTGATAGCGCTGGTTCATCAGGTTCTTCTGCTGGACTTTGTGGAGGTTACGCTGGTGCTACTGTTAGTTCAATTGCTGGTAACAATAATGTGATGTATTCAGTAGTGAAAATAAAACCAGAACATCTGTCGAATCCTGCTATATATTCAAATTCACCAACAGCATCAGATAACACAATGACAACTTCAACAGCTTGTGCTTTCGATAAGATGGCTGTAGCTGCTAAACAAGCAGGTGTAACAATTACTGTTGCTTCTGGTTTTCGTACAGTTGCTCGTCAAGAATACTTCTGGAATTGTTATCAAACAAAAGCATGTAACAATGGTAATTTAGCTGCTCGACCAGGTACATCAAATCATGGACGAGGTGTTGCTCTTGATTTGAACACCAATTGTGGTTCACAATCAGGAGCTAAACCTAACTGTGGTGGAAGTAAAGTTTATCAATGGTTAAAAAATAATGGTCACAAATATGGATTTAAGCGCACTGTTCAATCAGAACCATGGCATTGGGAATATGTTGGAGCTGCTACTACTCCTAGTAGTTTCACTTAAAATGTAATAGTATACGAAAGTGTGAACTTTATAGAATAAAAAACTAAATGATATTATTTGCGTCTACTCTTGCAAATAGTACTAACATGTTTTTTGACTACTTAATACTTTGATTCCTGCCATAAATGAAAAATTCAGAAAGAATATTTTCAATTCAATCTGACGATAGAATGGTGTGGGTGTGAGGTGTGTGTGGGTACTACGGCTAGAAAGGTCGATACTCACACCTTTGGATAGTGAGTCTTTTTAAGCTAATCACTAAACTTTTCAAATTACTTACTATGCTAAGACTAATGTCTTACTGAGCAGAAACTACTGAGCGTGTAATAAAAAACATACTAAGCATTCATTATAAACGATTGAGCAATTAAATACAAGTCGTAGAAATTCTGCAATCTTTCATCATTGAATTCGCATCGACTAACGAGCAATGTCCTCGAACTAATAAATCATTTTTGAGT